AGGCGGAGGAACCACCGCCGCCACCGCCGCCGCCGCCGCCGCCGGCTTCGTCTTCCACCTCGCTCAACGTGCAGCGTCCACGGCCAAGCCCGGGAATAAACGAACAGGGATTCCTACCGGAAGGAGGCACCAGACCACGTAGCATCCTGTCGGACACTGGTCGCCTCCGCTCTCCGGTCAAGACCCTGGCCGCCGATACGTGGAAAATACAGAGAAGAATGAAAACAAACGCCGCCGCCGGCGTCTTCATAACAGAAAAAGGCATTGAATTGAAATGGGTTTAGGGAATGAATTTGGAGGGAGAGGAACAAAATATTTATAAGGAAAAAGGAAATTAAAAATGAAATGGGTTTTGGTCGGAGTTGACTGATACAATCCGCGGGTAGTTGGGTTTGAAAGTTGAATAACGAAAACGATGAAAAATTCAACGGCACTAAAAAATATGATATGTGAATTTTAATTTGGATTTTTATGAGATAATACATAGTTAATCAAACTATTGTTTTAATGGGTCAACTTTCTTGGTGTCCACGGGTTCGGTTGAAAAGTATCGAGTTGTTGAGCTTGTGTCTCGAATTACCCGAACAGGGTGTTGGGATATGAAGCATGATACTTATTAACGGATAGAAATATGTTTGGTAGATATTTCGTAAAGATCTGATAGATTATATCTGGTAGGGTAAATGTGTTATACTATACTGAAATCATATATATTTGAAGTCTATCAATAAAACATCTAGCCAATATTCCTCCTTGGATTTTCTCTCTCGTTTTTTGTGTTCATCTTGATAGAGTGAGTGCGTTGCTGAGCGATCCTAACAACTGGTATTAGAGCGAGGTAAGAGATTCACCTCAATCTGTGAAGATGAATTTTTCAAAGATTGGAATTGAAAAGTTTGATGGATTTGATTTTAGTTTCTGGAAGATGCAGATTGAAGATTGTCTAAACCAAAAAGATCTTCACAAACCCCTGTTGGGGATGAAGCTGGATATTATGACCACGGAGTAGTGGAAGCTTAAGGATCGTTAGGCCTTAGGGTTAATCTGATTGACACTGTCCAGAAACGTGGCATTTAACATCATCAAGGAGAAGATAACGTTAGATTTGTTGAAGGTGCTATCAAATATGTACGAAAAACTGTCGGCTATGAATAAGGTGTATTTGATGCGGAGGTTGTTCAATCCACAAATGTCTGAAGGTGGATCTGTTCAATACGATTGTAAGTCAACTAAGTTTCGGTGGAAATTAATTATGAGGATGAAATTAAAACATTGATTTTGATGTCATCTTTACCCGAGTCGTGAGATACTGTTGTTGCCGCAATCAGCAGTTCACGAGAATCTGATAAACTGAAGTTCGATGAAATTTGAGATGTAGTTCTCAGCGAAAATATTCGCAAACGGGAAATCGGAGATTCATCAGGCAATGCTCTCAGTGTTGATTGAAGGGGAAGAAGTAAATCAAAGGATCCAAACAACGGGCGATAAAAATCAAAGAACCGGGAAAAATCTCCAAACAAATAAAAAAGTGTTGGAGTTGTTGAGAAAAATGTCACTTTCGGGTAGATTGTACAAAGAGGAAGCTGAATCACACATCAGAAGATGACGATGATTCTATACATTTAGCAGAAGACATTGGGGATGCTCTAATCCTCAGTGTGGACAATCTAATTGAATCTTGAATTTTGGATTCAGGTGCATCTCTTCATTCATCTCTAAACAAAGAGTTGTTTCGAAATTTCAAGTCTAAGTTTCGTGAAGGTGTACTTTGCCGACAATAAAGATTTGGAGATTGAAGGAAAATGGGATGTTTGCATAAAAACTCCGGCAGGAAATCAGTGAACATTAAAGGATGTCAGATATATTCCTGATCTCAAGAAGAACTTGATCTCTATTGATCAGTTGGATAACACAGGTTATGCAATAGAGTTTAGAGTTCGGGGAAGATTGTGAAGGGTGCTATGATGGTAGCACGTGGCACAAAATCTGGAACCTTATACACTATTGCAGAGTGTATAAACATGGCTACTGTTGCTGAGAGTGCTTCCAATTCAAGTCTATGGCACAATAGACTTGAACATATGAACGTTAAAGGAATGAAGATGTTGGCTCCGAAGAAGTTTTGAAAGGTCTGAAATCTATTGATATGAGTCCTTGTGAGAACTGCGTTATGAGCAAACAGAAACGAGTTAGCTTCACAAAGATTGTCAGAGAATTGAAGAAAGGTTTCGGTACAATGAAGCAAGTGGGAGTTGAGTTTGGGTTGCTGAAAGATTCACCTAGTGATGTTGTAGTGGATACTCAAGAAACTCCTGACACTATTGCTAAGGAACCAGAAGCGGAGCAAGTGTTGAAAATATCATCCAGAGCTATTAGAGTACCAGATAAGTATGTACCTTCTTTACACGATCGGTTGGTGACTGATGAAGGGGAACGAGAGCCCCTTGATGAGGCCCTAAAATTGGAGGATACAACCAAGCGGGAGCAAGTCATGGATGATGGGATGTCTAGGCTTCAGAAATGTGTTGCTCTTTCATTTGCTGAGGTTGAGTACGTGGCAATAGCTGAAGTTGGAAAGGAGATGATATGGATGACTTACTATCTAGACAAATTAGGCAAGAAGCAACGCGAGAAGATTCTTCAGGTAGATAGTTAGAGTGTCATGCAATTGGTGAGGAACCCGATCTATCATTCAAAGACAAAACACAGAAGGCGATATCATTTCACTTAGAGGTTAGTGGAAGATGGTGGTGTGTTTGGAGGAGATAGAGGGTGCAAAGAATCCAGCAACATGTTGTGTTGATGTTGGAACATTGAGGTTGTACAAAGCCTCAAATGGTATGGTGTAGATTGAGAATGAAATTCTTGGTTGATTGGATCAGTCTCGGGAGATTGTTGGGATGGAGCCTGATGCCTATTTACAGTAAAGATCTGGAACACGTATTTTCTTCATTCTCGGTCATCGTACACACCTGAATTCATCAATAAAACCTTTAGCCAATATTCCTCTTTGAATTTTTCCTCTCATGTTCTTTGTGTTCATCTTGATCGAGTATGTGCGTTGTTGAGAGATCCTAACACAGGGTTCACAACTCAACTCAGCCCTCTATTTTCGAGATGGGTTGGATTGGATTGTCAAGTTATTCATCTTTTAATAATTGAAAAAACAATCTACTTTGACTTGAATTAACCGAACAAGGTTCACAGCTCAACTCAACCCTCTATTTTCGAGTTGGGTTAGATTGAATTTTCGAGTTATTTATTTTCTAAATTGAAAAAACAATCTACTTAGTTGCAACGTGTCACATTATTGACTAAAATCTCATAAAATTTAATATCGAACATTTATAAGTTACAATACATTACTAATATTGATTAGAAACATCAAATATTCTTTACCTTCGTACAAATTTTAAAAGTAGGGTTGGGTTGGAAACCTATTATTGAGTAGGTCAGGCACGACCAAGAAAGTTTTAACTCGTGAGCCAAACAAAATACAAAGTTTACGGATATTTATATTAATTTGGCGTATATATATATATATATATATATATATATATATATATATATATATGCACACCTACGTATATACATATACATACACATTAAAGGTTGAACAACATATATATAAATAAAATATAGATATGAAAAGGTGATGATCAAAGGTTGAAAAGCTAGTGGGTTGTTAGGTTTGATTAGCAACTTTTTATTGTACCTTTTTGAACCGCCTAGCTTCTTCGTCTAAATAATACAACATTCCAACAACTATGTATATCAAAATCAAAGCAACTTTAAAGTGAAAATTCGAGATTTCCTTTGAACGTGGTTCTTCCGAGTAAATTCATACTCATTTATGAAGTAGAATTGTTCTAAGTTAAACATGATTAATTATGTACTTCTTCATTCAGATGTCTGTAACGAGTAGTTCATAGTTCATGTGTAATAATATACTGAAACGATAACGAACCGAATATATTTGATGCTAATTTCATCTGATTTGTTTGATTCCCACCGATGAATACGGTTAGCATGAAATAAGGAATTCTCTCCGTAATTTGTAAATGGATCTCAACACCATTAGTTGGTTTTAATACAAGTATTTGATCTTAAAATTATTCGAATCAATCTCTAATGGTTATTAGGGACGATCTCGATACTGTAGCCAAAACCATGAATAGAGAGAAACGAAAGCTTTTTTGAATCTATATGTGAGATCCCACATCAGTTGGAGAAGAGAATGAAACATTCTTTATAAGGGTGTGAAAACCTCTCCCTAGCAAACACGTATTAAAAACCTTGAGAGAAAGTCCAAAAGGAAAGATGACAATATCTGTTAGTTGTGGGCTTGAGCTGTTACAAATGGTATATTAGAACCGACACCAGGTGATGTGCCATCAAGGAGGCTGAGCCCCGAGGGGGTGTGCCAGCGAAGACACTGGGCCCCTAAAGGGGGCGGATTGTGAGATCTCATATCGGTTGAGGAGAAGAACGAATCATTTTTTACAAGTGTGGAAACCTCTTCCTAGCAGAAACGTTTTAGAAACATTGATGGGAAGCCCGAAAGGGAAAGCTCAAGAGGACAATATCTGCTAGCGGTGAGCTTGGGCCATAACAAATGGTATCAGAGCTAGACACCGGATGATTTGTCAGCAAGGAGGCTGAACCCCAAAGGGGGGTCACGAGGGAGTGTGTCAACGAGGATGCTGGGCCCCCAAGGGAGGCAGATTATGAAATCTCACATCAGTTGGAGAGGAGAACGAAGCATTCTTTATAAGAGTTTGGAAACCTCTCCCTAGTAGACACGTTTTAAAAACCTTGAGGAGAAACCCGAAAGAAAAAACTCAAAGAGAACACTATCGGCTAGCAATGAGTTTAGACTGTTACACTATATCTAATGGTTAATAAGGACAATCCCGACATTGCAACCAAAACCACGAACAAAGAGAAATGAAAATTCTTTTCGAATCTATATCTAATGGTTCGTAAGAACAATCCCGAGATTGCAGCCAAAACTGCTTTTCATTAATGATATATATAGATCATCATCCAATACAATGATGAAAATAATTGTTACAATATTCACACAAGACCATCTCCTTTTTTACATTAAATTCATTCAATCCACTCCATTTAAATAAGTCTTCACTTCAAATTATTAGTAGGGAGGTAAGAGTTCAAATATCCTAAAAGTGACAGTTTCTACACCAAAAGAGTTAAAAATCCTTTGTAAATTCTTCATACCTTTGGAGAAAACAAGCTCCAAGCTCCAAGCTACTGTACAGTTGCCCGAAATCTTGATCGGTTCATGTCGCCTTTCTCCCCTGTACGTAACTGGTAGAAAACCGAGTTCGTGAATACAAAAATGGTATGGCAGAAAGAAAGAACGAGCATTGTAAGCAGATTTCGAGTAGAAAAACTCACAGTTTTGAATGGTTTCTTTGAAGCGTATCTATCACCAGGACGTCCTTTCAACTTCTTATCCCGACTTTTCGTAGTTCTCGTAAATGGGAAGCGATCTCTTGAACAAACCGAAGCCCGTCTTCTCCTTTTCGGAGTGAATTGATTGTATTCTCAAGGAAATTCTTGTCAGCTTCAAGCATTTCCATTCTTTTGTTAAGATTAGCCATCTCACTTCTTAGAGAGGTGAAATCCGCCATTCCCGTGGCCAACACGGAGTTCCTATCGACACAATCAAGTTCACCGCTTTCTTTATCGAACGTAGGACGAGCAAGCGAGGGAAGATGATCATCCACATGTTTTGGCTCATTGCTGAAAAGATCTATCTTGACCCCATTGTTTGAAAACAAATGAAGCATATTCTCCAACTTCTCAAGACATTGCATGATGCCAAGCTTTTCGTCCTCGAACTCCAACAAAAACTTGTTGTACGTGCTGCCTTCGTTTCCAACTTTCTCGTGGATATCGGGTTTACCTGCAACGGAATTGTCGTAACCGGTTGTTCCGATCTGGTTTGACTCTAAATGAACGACCCCGATATCTCTTTCCTTCACATTAGACGTCTCCACTAGATTATCTATTGTATATGCGTTCGGGAAATTCATCCGATAAAACTCGAGTTCGGCTTCGAAATCTTGCATCTTTTTGTCCTTCTCTGTAATGAGATCATTTGCTTTCTGCAGGGCATCATCATCATATTCACTTTGTTCTTCCATCATCCTTATACACTGCAATGCTTCCATGTGAAGACTTGCCTTCTCCTCTTGCAGCCTTGTAATCATGGCCATTGCTTGATTAGCAGCAATAGCAGATGCACTTCTTTCTTCCTCCAATTCCTTGTATAACGAATTCATAAGCTTCTTATCGTACTCGATCTTTCGTTTCAACTGTTCAACCATGTTTTCGCCTTCGATTTCACTGACCTCACTGACATTGAATGCATCTAGAGATTCTAAACTGAACTCGTTTCTTTCAAGCGAAAACCTTCTCTGTAGTATCTGAATCCCAGCGGCGCTCGAGACATCTGAGCTCCTCGACTCATCACCATATACAGACATCCTCGGACTCATATCCCGTGATTGGTCATTCATTCGATTAAATGAGAGTTGTGTCAAGAGAAGCTTCAGATCTTCAGTCTCTTTTGAAGATTCCTTCCCGATCCATTGTTGCGAAAGCCTGCCCGACATTTGTCTTAATCCTCGAGCGCCTAAAGCTAGCTTATAAGCATCACCAAGCTCCAATACATTTGGTGCTATCTGAACAGCCTCACTCGAAACAGATTGCGCTTCTGAAGGTGCTTCAGATGTCACTTTTGTCGCCAAAATACCTGTCTTCTCGGTTTCCTTGCGTTTCATCTCGTATTCTTCGCCTCTAGTAACATCTACAATGTTTATAAGAACATACATCAGTGATAATCACAAAGAGTTTCATCTGGTTGCATTGACAAGACCGAGAGGTCGCAGCCTATTCTCGTATTCCTACTGCATAATATATGCTGTATAGCATTTACCCTTAGGAAACAGAAGACGACGACGACGACAACAACAAAGCTCGATATTTTTCTCATCATTTTGTGTGGTGTCCTAGAACTAGAAATGCGTGGAGAAAATCACAAAGAGTTTCATCTGGTTGCATTGACAAGACCGAGAGGTCGCAGCCTATTCTCGTATTCCTACTGCATAATATATGTTGTATAGCATTTACCCTTAGGAAACGGAAGACGACGACGACGACAACAACAACAAAGCTCGAGATTTTTCTCATCATTTTGTGTGGTGTCCTAGAACTAGAAATGCGTGGAGAAAATAACTCACAGCTTCCTTCTAAAGCTTTAACAGAGGTTGCTATTGTGTTTGAAGAAGGAACCACGTTATCAAGGGCAAGGAGATCAGTTGATGAAGAGAAAACCGCATTATTTTCGACGTGCTTTGGAGTCAATTCATCCAAACCATGCCCGATCAAGACATCGCATTCTACAGGAGGCGGTGTATCGGTTAACAAGACCAATGGTTCAGGCGTCAAAGCTGGCTCGACTAGCTTTGTCGTGGTTAAATCACCGGCCACTGAAATGAAGTTAGCCTCCATACGAACACCGATATCGTCCTTAGAAATGCATCCATTTCCATCAGATACTGTGTCTGAAGTGATCTTTAACTCTCTGCATTGAACATGAGGTAATGGATTTCGAGAAACAGAACTCGACAAGGGAACATTGAGATCCTCCGTCTCCCATCCGCTCGATCTGGTCTGAATTAACGTTTGAACGAACCCTCTTGGAACATACGGCACCTTACAACACGAACAAAGTCTTTGGCTGGCAGGATGAGGATCCTCCCTCAGTTTCCCAACCAATAATCTATAAGTCTCAGAATTTGACTTATGGATTGTTGCAAATGAACAGAGGCAGCTATTACACATTTCATGAACATTAACAAGTTTGTTGTGAGCATGACAAAGTACCAAAGATGAAATCTCCAGCTTATGTTTGCCACAAATCAATTTCCAAAGGTACCCCTTCTTCTCCGAGCCAAAAACATGATCGAGTCTCGAACATAGCAGGCACGGGGTGCACAATTTCCAAAGGCGAGCAAATTTTGTGATGAAGAACGAGAATATCGAGTCCAAAAACAGCATAAATATCAGTAGCCATTCAGAAACAGCATACAACAAAGAAGTAACAGGACTTTTTCGAGCACACGCTTTAGGAGATGACGTTCCCATTACGGCCAACGTCCCAACAAAACTAAGTTGACAGGATGAATTAACCGTCTCGTGTGCATAAACTTCACCTCTCCAAAGCAGTCGAAAAGGTAACTCAACAAATCATCAACTGTGGAGAGACAGAAGTTACAACACTTATTAATACAAAGTGTAGAAAAAGAAACAGCACGTTTATGAAGAAAACGACCCGGCTCCTCGGATTCAGACCGCCCAAACAACAACCGGGTTTAGGAAGATCAAAAAGATTCAAACACAAACAGTTTGGCTTTGATAATAGAACAGAATTCTTGAACAAACCATGAGAAGAACAAATTGAATCAGAGGCAGATCATGCAAGTTCAAAAGAATTGAAGAACACTAAATATCAAGATTTTTGGTAACAAAACAATCAACCAAACCTGAGGGAAAGGGAAAACCCATTAAATTCAGGAAGAGATCTATCAATGGAGTCAACCCAAGCACACCACTAGTAGATATTGTCCTCTTTGGGCTTTCCCTTCTAGGCTTCCCCTCACGATTTTAAAATGCGTCTACTAGGGAGAGGGTTTCACATCTTTATAAGAAATGTTTTGTTCTTCTCTCCAACTAACATGGGATCTCACAACACACCCCCTTGGGAACCTAGCGTCATCGCTGGCACACTGTTCGGTGCCCGACTCTAATACTATTTGTAACAACCCAAGCCCACCGCTAACAGATATTGTCCTTTTGGGCTCTCCCTTCCAACCTTCCCCTCAAGATTTCAAAACAAACGCGTGTATCAGGGAGAGGTTTCTACACCTTTATAAGGAATGCTTTGTTCCTCTCTCCAACCAGCTTTAGATCTCACAATCCACCTCCCTTGGGAGTCCAGCGTCCTCGCTGGCACACTAGATATTGTCCTCTTTAAGCTTTTCCTTCCAAGCTTTCCCTCAATGTTTTAAAATGAACTCGTATACTAGGGAGAGGTTTTCACACCTTTATAAAGAATGCTTTGTTCCTCTCTCCAACAAACGTGAGATCTTCTAACCCAATCACTGACACACCGTTTGGTGCCTGGCTCTAATACCATTTGTAACAACCCAAGCTCATCGATAACAGATATTGTCCTCTTTGGACTTTTCCTTCCGAGCTTCCCCTCTAGATTTTAAAACGAACGCGTGTACTAAGAAGAGGTTTCCACACCTTTACAAGGAATACTTTGTTACTCTCTCCAACCAACGTGCGATCCCACAGTCAAGTTACCATAAAAGCATGAAAATCTATTGTAGAACATTAATCAATAGCTACAAATACAGAAATCCAAGCTCTTCTAAAGTCTGGTTACAGATCATAACGCATCCAGAGCATCATAAAACAAATGATCAAAGGAAAACCCAGCAGATCAAGAGAGAAAAGACGGGAAAAATCATGAAAAACACAAGCATAGCACAAACCCAACAAAGAACAACACAAGAACAGAACAAAAAGCACAACGATCAGAACCCAAATTCCAAACCAAGAACAGCAACAAAACAAAACAAAATTCAGATTCAAAGAAGGAAAAGTACCCGTGGGCAGGAAATCCCGTTGATCGCAAGAGAAGCCAGCAACGAATCGAAGGAAAAAGAGATGCAAAGTGAAAACAAAACCCAGAAAGAGATTAAATGTAGAATGATCAAAGAAAAGGCCCACCAAAAAGGTTGAACAATCCAACCAATTGGGGACTCAAAAATTCACATTGTGTTTTAGGGTATTAAAGAAAATGGAAGAGAAGGAAGGGAAAGAGGTTGGAAATGGACGTCCACGCCGACCAGGAAAAAAGGTCGGCTGCAGATTAAAGGGGGAAAAATTGACCGAAACTTATTCCCTCCTGGAAATGAAATCGAAAACCAAAATTAATTTCTTCGTTTTTGGCCTCTCCCAACAACACCACGGAGATTCAGCCCAAATTTACAGGTCGTTAGTTTACGCTTTTCTATTTTTCGGTTTTCTATATATATATATATATTAACGCCAAATTCACCCGAGATGTTGTCCTCCTCCTACTTTTTCAAAGCTAAGAGATATTGTCCTTCTTAGATTTTCCCTCCCGGGCTCCCCAGCTTTAAAACGCGTTTGCTACGGGAAGGACCATTTTCATACCCTTATAAAGGGTTGTCTTCTTTAGACTTTCCCTTTCGGGCTTTAATTGTAACGCCCGCTCATCGTCAACGCGATTAACAGGGGTTACCATAATCAACGACAATATATTCTAATACCCAATCATAATCTCAAAATGATAAAAAAAAAACATTCAGTAAAACATTTAAAACAATGCTATTTAAATTTAAACCAACCGAAGTAAATTCTTGACAGCGAAAACATAAATATACAAAACAGACACCGACATGGATTCCCAGTAGTCTTCAGTCCGCTGGTCTCGCCCTCGGTTGGCCTGCATCATCTAAATCTGGAAAGAAAAGTTATAATAATTTTGATGAGTAATTAGATTACTCAGTAAGTAGCTAGCTTATCACTCAAGAGTTCATAACTAATCTTTCCAGGTGTTTTTAGGTTTTATTCATCATTGACTCCTAGTTCTCTTACTAGGGTCATCTGTTCGTTAATGAGGTATCTCAGCTACCTCCAGCTAGGTTACTGACTCTCTCTCGATATGCTTATCTAGAATTTTCGGACTCGTATGTAAGACTCGCTCTCGGTCAAATACGGCCCGTCTACTAATTGCTCTGGCGGCCTGTTTATCTCATATACCAACGGTCAGGAGTACTCATGCTCCCTGACTTAGCACACAGCGCGTTGGCCAGGAACTCCGCGGGAATTAGTAGACTATCATACTCAGTAAATAAGCCATAGCTCAACCACCAATAAGCATATCTAGAGTCATAACCTTTCCATTAACATGCATAACATACTCACAGTTACTGCATGCTTTCATACATGTATCATGATCAATACGTAGACATTCTGACAATCGTTTATATCATGCTTACATCACAGGCAAGCAGTCACAATATACAATAAACACGAACTATCATCGAAGCTCATCATAACTTATTAAGCTCTTAATCAGGTAAACAACATACTCACATGTTGTAAAACAAGTTAAGAACTAGTTCAAAGGTCGATACGCTACTTACCTGGTTTCGAATCCCTTTCTCTCTTAATTATACATTTAATAGGGTATTTCGACACAATTCCTTCCAAGTAGACCTATATTTCACCATTTTCAAGGTAAGTATAGGTCAATCTAGGTAGAACAGGTCAAAACAAATCGAACGGGACAAACCGGGAACCGAACGGACGCTTCACGCGCCCTCACGCGCCTCGGTGTGTCTGTCCCACGCGCCAGTCGCACGCCCAGTCGCGTCCCTCACGCGCCTGCGTGTAGTGCACGCGCTTCTTCTTCTTCCTTGCGTTTTTCTGAAATTTCCCATCTTTTCTGTTAATACCTACTATATCCCGAAGCAAAAATTTCATCTCTACAGCTCGAATTTCGTTCTGATTTCTTCTACAACTTTATAGATCTTCTAACTACGGTTCTAACCAGCCTTATTTCATAACTTATTATGCAGTATAACTCAAGATATCGAGATTTAAAGGTTCGGTGATGTGGGTTTTTTCGTTACCTTCGAATTACCGTCCGCTTCAGCTCGTGGCTGTATCCCCTTCCTCAAACGATTCCTCAGCAACAACCCCTCTTCCTTTACCCTCGATTGATGTCCAATTTTAAGCAACCAAAACTCGAATTCTCAGAAAGTTTCCTCCTCTGTTTTCTGGGTTTTTCACGAATCACCAATCTTCGTTTTTTTTTTCTTCCTTTTTAAAGCTTAATCCATCCCACGCTTCCACCTCCTCTAATCATCCTCTCTTTTCTTTCTTTTCCCTTCAACCACCTGTCCATTCTTCCTTTCTCCATGGCAGCAGCTTCAAGCTGCTGCTGTTTCTTTTTTATTTTTATTTTTTATTTTTTAATTTATTATTATTATTATTATTATTATTTATTTATTTATTTATTTATTATTTTCGGGTTATTACAATTCTACCCTCCTTTTAAAAACTTTCGTCCTCGAAAGTTCCTAACTCTAGGAACAAATGTCAATATTCGAGTTTTAACTCTTCTTTTGGTTCCCAAGTAGCTTAGATTCTCTTCTACGGTAAATCTTTATAACGAAGAACGTACATAGGATCTTCAATATATTTACTTAACATCGAAACATAAAAAGCATTATGTACAGCCTCTAATGCTAGTGACAATGCTAGTGTGTAGGCTACTAGCCCAACTCTTTCGAGAATCACGAAGGTCCAATAAAACATTGGCTAAGTTCTCCCCTCTTACCACTAGCCCAACTCTTTCGAGAATCACGAAGGTCCAATAAAACATTGGCTAAGTTCTCCCCTCTTACCATATCAAACTCTATTTCGAGAATCACGAAGGTCCAATAAAACATTGGCTAAGTTCTCCCCTCTTACCATATCAAACTCTACATTTCAAGAATAGGTGCAATCTTCAGGAACACGTGGTCTTCTCCCCTCTTACCATATCAAACTCTACATTTCAAGAATAGGTGCAATCTTCAGGAACACGTGGTCCCCCATGTCAATACCATATCAAACTCTACATTTCAAGAATAGGTGCAATCTTCAGGAACACGTGGTCCCCCATGTCAAACTCTAGGTCCTTCCTTCTAACATCAGCATAACTCTTCTGACGACTTTGAACGATCAGAATTTTTTTCCTAATCTTCTGTATCGCCTCATTGGCCATTCGTAACAAGTTTGGATCCAACTACTATTTTCTACCTACCTCATTCCAATAAATCGAAGTTCGACACCTCCATCCATAACATGTCTAAAAAGAATCATCGGAATGGTTGCCTGAGAACTATTGTTATAGGCAAATTTAACCAGATATAGGTAGGTGTCCCAACCGCCAGCAAAATCATGTACACATGTCCTCAAGAATTTGATTTAATCTCTCAGTATGTCCCTCTGTTTGAGGATGAAACGTTATCCTAAACTTCAGTTGTATACCAAGGGCTTCCTGAAGACTCTTCCAGAATCGAGAAGTAAACCGCGTATCCCTATCTGACACAACAGAAACTGGTACACCATGCAACCTTACAATCTCCTTTAAATACAATTGTGCCCACTTGTCAACCGAATATATAGACTTAACCGGTATAAAATGGGCTGTCTTAGTTAATCTATCCACAACGACCCATATCACTGTAAACCCTAACTGGGTTCTAGGTAGTCCTGTAATGAAATCCATAGTCACTTCTTCCCACTTCCACTGAGGCACATTTAAAGGTTGCAATAATCCAGCTAGTTTCTGTCTAGGTGCCTTAACTTGTTGACAAGTTAAACACCTACTCACACATTCAGCAACATCTTTCTTCATCCCAGGCCACCAAAAGTATGTTTTCAAATCCTGACACATCTTTGTGGCACCTGAATGCACAGTATAGGGCGACTCATGCGCCTCAGATAGAATCTTCCTCTTGATCTCTACATCGTTTGACACACAAGTTCGGTTCTGCCACTTCAAACACCCATCACCCGTTATCCAGAAATCCTTGATTTGTTCAGTCTCAAGTTGCCTCACAACTTTTGAAAAATAAGGGTCCCTTTGCTGACCCCGAATAATTTGTTCCTGCAACGTCGGACAAATAGTCATAAGAGCTAGCTGAGCTGCCGCTTTCCTGACCAAGACAGCTATCTGGGCTCGTTCAAACTCCATCTGAATGTTGTGTTGTCTCGTTAGCATTGCAGATGAGTGAGCTGTCTTACGACTCAAGGCATCAGCTACCACATTAGCTTTACCAGGATGATGTAGGATCTCCACATCATAATCTTTTACCAATTCCAACCACCGACGTTGCCTCATGATGAGCTCTTTCTGGGTGAACAGATATTTAAGACTCTTATGATCAGTATATACTTGTATCCTCTCACCATACAAATAATGTCTCCATATCTTCAGAGCAAACACCACAGCAGCTAATTCTAAATCATGAGTTGGGTAACTGCGTTCATAATCCTTTAATTGCCGAGAGGCATAAGCAATAACTCTCCCGTTTTGCATAAGTACGCACCCCAACCCATGCTTAGAGGCATCGCTATAAATTACTAGGTTTCCAGTACCGTCAGGTACAATAAGCACTGGGGCTGACGCTAATCTTTCCTTGAGTTCCTGAAAACTACTTTCACAAGCTCGACTCCAATCAAATTTCTTCCCTTTTCGGGTTAACTGAGTCAGTGGTGCAGCAAACCTTGCACAGTCTTTAATAAAGCGCCTGTAATATCCGGCTAAACCCAGAAAACTTCTCATCTCAGTAACTGTAGTTGGTCGAACCCAACCTATAGTTGCCTCCACCTTTGCTGGATCAACAGTTATACCATCCTTGGATACCACATGACCAAGGAATACTACCTTTTGAAGCCAAAACTCGCATTTTGAGAACTTGGCATATAATCTTTGTTTACGCAGAACCAACAAAACCTTCCTCAAATGTTCTGCATGTTCATCGTTTGTCTTGGAATAAACCAAGATATCATCAATGAACACAATGACAAAAGAATCCAGAAAATCCTGGAATACCCGGTTCATCAGCTCCATAAACAATGCAGGGGCATTAGTCAAGCCAAAGGACATCACAACAAACTCATAATGCCCATACCGAGTACGAAAAGCTGTCTTCGGTACGTCATCTTCTTTGACTCTTATCTGGTGATAACCAGAACAAAGATCAATCTTCGAAAATACCGCTGCCCCTTGAAGCTGGTCAAACAAGTCATCAATTCGCGGCAAGGGATACTTATTTTTAATGGTCACCGTATTCAGCTCCCTATAATCAATACAGAAACGGAGTGTACCGTCCTTCTTCTTCACAAACAACACGAGCTCCCCACGGTGACACACTAGGTCGTATGAACCCCTGGTTCAACAATT